ATTTTAAAGAACTTTTCGGAAAGCTTTTCAATGGTTTAAGCGACCTAAAACATACCGCGTTTATCTAAATAAATGGCAATGTGTCGATAAAATTCCAGCTATATATTCATATGTTTTGCATACAAACCCTAAAAGGGTTGTCGTGTTTTCAGGTGACCTGTGCACACAATCGTCCTCAAACCTAAAGGCAATGTAAGAATGAAAATTGTTTCTAAAAATACGCAAATTGCTGAATTAATAAAACGAAATATTTCAGCTATAGGATATTGAATTCCAGGAAAGCATGCGGATCAGAGAATATATGCATTAATCGAACATTTAAAGGGGGTAGGAATCGACATTCTAAAACATTACTTTATCCATGTACGATGGACGCTGGCAACTGGAGATATGCTCGGTTAAAAGACAGTTTGCAATGATCTGCAGTTATCTTCAGCTACTGCCAACAATTAAACCTCACTCAGGTAAACTTCGTCCCTGTGAACGTACATTAAAGGAGCTCGTCAAAGCTACACGCAGTTCAATGAATCTGAAGGACATTAACTCAAGGAAATGGCGGACTTAGGAGGCCAAAAATCGCAAAGGAATAGAGCGAACTGCCCTACTCAGGAAGACGACGTCACCTTACGGTCGATTCGGAAGGCATACCATGAAGTCAATGACAACGAACTCGTGGCTCAATAGTTAGGATGTTAGACTGATCAAAGAGATCGCGAGTTGGAGTCTACGGTGGTGCACCAATTGGGGCTGGGTATGGCTGGCTGACAACGGTTAATTAACCAAAAACTGCCATTACAGTCTCCCTTGGCTTTGTCGGTAATACTATCTGCCTAAGACTACTGGCCGGTACGGCAGCAGTCAGGGCCCGAGAAATGATGATCAAGGCAGAGCGGAACAAGTGAATACTGTTAGCGGTCGGTGGACGTACATCAACAAGTGTCAGTTACAAAGCCCTTTGTTGTGTCTTCCTTTGCATATGATTGTGACATAACTTCAAGTTGTGCTCAACCGATACTAAGTCACACGTCCCCTTGTATCTTCTTGTCACTCTTATTTTCATAAAGGAAGGAGTTGTTTCATCATATGCTCCCCCTAAATCCTTTTCGCGGTCATTCCCTTCCAGCTAATCTCCTACAAGCTGCCCTCCAAAGCTGCCCAAGTCGGGACTCAGAGTTCCTGCCGTGAAATCTTGAAAGAGAATCGTTTACTATTCAAAAGTTAAAAACGCTGTCTCAGTTCTGAGGTGGAGCTGAGTCATCTTAAGGTGAAGTACAACTTCAACCAGGATATTATTCTCCAATACAGCTCCTTCTACCCATTTGTTAC